TACTTCTATACACATTATTTTTCTGGCCATTGTCTTAAAGCAGGAAAGTCCACATTTGCAATAGTAAAATGAATTCATCATCATGAACATACTAGGGCCACGATTCAGAGCAAACTAAAAGGCCATAAAACCAGCGTTTGTACAAAAGATTTGATCGCTGCAGTCCCCCTTATGCATCCCAATTTCTTGATTAGCAAATATTTATTTGTTATTTTTTGGGTATAACTATAGGTTGGAATTTTTACACACATGAATAAAAGTCTCCGAAAACACAGGGCGCTAGGACAGAACTCAATACATTCCCACACCACAGTTCATAAATGTATTCCAATTATTTCTCTTATGCTTGTTCTGTTGTGTCCTGTTAACCATCTACATGACATGATTAGCAATGCTAACTTTTTGGTTGTGGGAAATGAAATGAGTAACAGTGGCTTTTCTTTCAACCCAGCACATTAAATTAGAGCTGAGGGTTGAGGTTAGACAGGTAAAACACACTTGGGAACGTTAAGTTGACTATCTTCTAGATTAAGCACTCAGAGGCACAGCCCAAAAACATTAATCCTGGCTGATGAGGCACTAAACATGTATGGAACTGCCATGTTGACACCACTAGAGGGTACTAGGAGATGTATAAAAAATGGAGGGAGGGAGGAAGAGAGAGAGGGTGGAGGGAGGGGCATTCTTACAACACACTTAATTTCTTCATTGGTTATCCCATTTTTACAGTGATTAGTTATTATAACTTCCAATGTTTTGTCCTCAAAGATTGCTTCCATTCACTTGCTGGACAGAACGAGCCTCAATCACCCTCAAGATAGCCTATCTGCTTTCTACTAAGGAACCACCAAGAAGTTACTCAGAATCAGTGTTTTTTCTGAAAGTTAGCATATATCAGCTAGGTTTGGCATTACATTTCTAGAATTTTAGCACTTGGGAGATGGTTATGGGAGAACTGAAGGATCTGAGCTACATGCTGAGACCCTACCTCCAGAAGCTAAGCACTGGAGATTTTAGCTCAGTACTTGCCTAGTATGAGCAAGGCCCTGGGTTTTTGGGTTTAATTTCCAGCATGCACACATGAGTGGTGCTTACCTGCAGGCAAGTGACCTCATTTCTATAGAATGGGCTAGTTTACGAAGAGATACACATTCCTTTTAGAAACTGTCTACAGAAGCTCTAGAAATACAGATAGGACCTACCACTGAGGCCAGGCCACTCAGACAGAGCTCCCTGGTGAAAATGAACATCTTTTGTTCCAGAGATTGTTTGGTGCCCCAGAGAGATGGTCAAGTGGACTCTTTCCTGTGCCCTTTAAAATACACGTGTGCCACTTGGGTCACCAGACAGTTCTGCCCCTGATACAACTGCACCCTCGCCAGCTCAAGAATCTTATTCCACTCCTGTTACTAAAATCCACTGAGGAATTGGGGAAAAAAGAACCATGAGCAAAAGCCAGTGGAAAACCAAATGCTCTGTGTCTCTCACCAATAAGGTCTACAGCAGACTTAACAGCTCAGTGTGTTTATTTTCAAAAACTCAGTGAAGAGAAGATTTGGGCCAATTGTGAAAACCGGTGCGCTGACCCTGAGGTCATTTCTCCATCATCTGATTATTCAAAGGAACGATGAGCAAAGACAATGGAGCTGGGATAGCAAAAGGTGATGGCTTTCTACTAAAACAACCAGTTCATTTCTCATCAGCATAGTACTTTTGAGACTGTAATAACAGCAGGAATATACTTCGGGGACAGACATTTTCGAAGGGGTCAGCTCTGAGTTCTGGAAGAATTAGACTAGCAAATAGTTTTAAAACATTCTGGCCATGGTCACTATGGAAGTTTCCATAAAGCAGTTATGGGGGAGGAAGAATAATTCCTAGCTGGTCTGCAAGGGCAATGGAGAGAGAAGAGGAAGAGCCGGAGCAAGGCATCGAGTATTAACTCATGGAAAGGTTTATTAAAATGCCCTGGCTTCCCAACTACCCCGGGAGGAGCAGACATTGTCCCATAACAATTGAAACAGATGTTTCCACTTTGTAAATATTTGCTAGAGAAATAAAGGTTTGATTTTTTCCAACCTATCCAGCTATTATGACACTGTGTGAAATCGAGAATGTATATGCTGAAATGCATGATTGATTTGTAAATGGTAGGCCAATAATGTTGCAAGCCACCAAATACTCTGCTCCTTGTATAATACTTTGCTCCTTGTATAATATTCCTTGTTCAAGGCTGTGTGGCTAGATCCAAAAAGGCTCCTTTCCAATCTTGCAATCACAGAGATATCATCACTGAGCAACGTGGAACTGATTGTGTTTACTTCAGAATCATAGGTTAGTCCATCCTTTCCTTCAACTATGGGAGAGAATAGCAATAAGGCATGACATTGATTGTGCTTCAATGCTAAAGGAGAAAAATTATACAATGTTCCTGTGATAAATGATGTGAGGGTTCCTTAGTTCTGTCTTTGCTCATCGCATTAACTAGCAGGGATGTTTATATTTTGATTGAAAATGAAATTTGGCATGAAACAGTATTCTCATTCTAGTGGAACTCGTGTTCTGTAACATCTCTGAAGTTGCAAATACATCAATTAGAAGCCTCTCTATTTATATTTTTTCCCTAAGGATGGATTCCTTCCAAAAAGCTATTTTCTAGAGGAAGTGGAAGCACTTTACAGCTGTTACGCAAAAAAGGAAAAAAAAAAATCAGGGTCACTTGTTTCCTGGAAGGAAATACTTGCGCTTCCAACATGTGATAGCAGATGTTAACCCTGAATATCTGCCAGACTAAATTGAGCTGTCTTCTGACAACTTTGTATAGCAGGGCTTTATTCATTTTTCTTTCAATCAGCTCTGTAGTTCAAGCTGAGGCCCAGAAACTCCCACTTGTCATTCCTCACATGTTTGCATTTAAGTGATGAAACCAAGACCATTAATGCCAGAGAGATGGCTCAGTGGCTAATTGCACATACTGCTCTTTCAGAGCCACCCATGTCGGGTGACTGATAATCACCTGCTCCAGGATTTCTTTTGGGCTCTGCAGACACAGCCCCACCCCAACCTACATAACACACACACATACACACACACACACACACACACACACACACACACACACACACACACAAATAAAATAAATCTTTATTAGAAAAAACACATTCAGGATAATTTCTATAGTTTTGTTTAATGATGAAACTGCATCTGTCTAATTGAAATGTAATTAACTTTTGTGAAACTAATGTGTGAAGAGGTTTGTCCACTGATGCCAGAGATGCCAATTCAGAACTAAATTTACCTCCACACTGGGAAATGGAAATGCAATACTTAGAGAAACCTGTGGATTACATTGCCACACTGCATTTTATAACACAGAGGTAAATAATTACAAGGATTTTGTTCCCCCAAATAGTACATTACATGCTTACATGTCTTAAAATGAGCAGGACAGATGTACACATAAGGGCTCAGAATATGGAATAATAATTTCAATCATACCCATTGAAAAAGCACTGTCATTTTTGTTAGATCATAGAGCCTGTATTTCTACTAATACCTCTATCAATCTCTATCTACCATCTTGTTATCTATTACCTGTCTCTCTCTCTCTCTCTCTCTCTCTCTCTCTCTCTCTCTCTCTCTCTCTCTCTCTCTCTCTCTCTCTCTCTCTCTCTCTCTCTCTCTCTCTCTCTCTACACACACACACACACACACACACACACACACACACACACTGGAGCCCATCTCTTCCCCACCCTGCAGTCTCTCTCAATGGACAGAGTACAAGAATCCTGTGAGCTTGCCGTTCTCGCTTTCTCTCCCTCCCCATTTGTAGCCCCAGGATAAGTTTACATGCTACACAGTACCTGCCTCCATGCTTCTTGGCATGAAGGTGAGGTGAGGCTATGTCATGGGGCATGAAACTTGCCCACCATTCCTGAAAACCCTTAAGCATCAGCAACTGCTCTTTTTCCTTTTGAATTGAAGACCCTCTCTCTGTTCTGGACCCCATCGTGATGTTATGGTGTGATCTCCTAATGGTCTCCATTTCAGTCTCATCATGGCTGCCTGTCTATGAGCCGGTTTGTCTCTGGGGGACAATTTCATAAAAGTCCACCTTCCTACAAACCTCTTCTTAGTTAAGTTATGATGGCTTCACTATAGAGCTCCGAAAATCTTTAGAATTGCTCACAGTTCTATAGCACTTCACTCAGTATTAACAACAAAATTCACAAGGAGATGGCATATAGCTCAGGGAGGGTCAAGACTATGGGTACAAGCAAGTCTTGATTCTATCACTGATTAGTTGAAAGTTTGTGGTTGAACCCATGGCCTGCCACTTTTTTCTTTGTCACTTAGCATTTTACTCCCTACAACTGGATGTTTGGGCTATCCTCTCCTTTTCTCTATTATAGACTATGTTGAAATTCCCTATTTGTGTTCCTTAGTGTCATTTTTTTCCTATGAATGATGTTACTACATTTTATTACTATCCTATTACTAACAATATTAACCTTTTCAATTTTTCTCATTTGTTTAGAAGTAATACATTGCTGGAGGTTTTTTTTTTAATAATAAGGATTGAAATATGTTTGCTATAAGAATTTTTAAAATATACAAACACATATCTAAGAACAAAAAGACCACCTATAACCCTGTTCTTCATCATTGGTAAACACAAATGCCTTTCTTTCAGTCTCTTTTTCCATATTCGTTGACATTTAAAAATAAATTTTCATAATGACATTGTGTCCTACATTTCTTAATAACTATTATTATGGAAATACTGCTTAAAACATTAAATATCTTTAAAATGTTAATAGCTCTATAATATGCCATTACGTATATACCCTGATTTATTTATGCACAGTCATTTCCAATGCATTTGCTGTTATAACTACCCTAGTAAGGATCAATGTTATGCATTTGATATTACATTTCAAGTGCAGTTCATACATGTATTTTCATAGGATGCAGAATACAGCAAATACTCCTCTGACCTGTTACTTGTGTAGGAGCAATCACTTGACTGGCGCTAGACGTGGAAGCTTCAGGGGCCACTTCTACAGGCACAGGGGGTGATGTCTTTTCAATCACCACTGTATGAAGGAAGGGGAGATAAGAAAAGTCAACCTTGTTATGTTCACTGACATCTGTGGGCAACATGGAAGTATAACTTACTCTAAATAAAATAGTAGCTCTTTTCAAGAACTGGTAACAGTCCTAAAAGCTCATGATATTAAGTCACAGTTTTGGTTTGACTATTTAGTTAAAAAAAAAGCTACGAAAAACCCAGAATTCAAAAAATATGGCCATTTGATAAATAAAAAGTTCCAATATTTAGATGATGTATACTAGCCCTGATCACCGAAGATAGTGAGAGGCTGAGGCTTCCTATTATACTACTTATATTACTCCTCCTACACTAACATTGTTCCAGTGTAGGAACCTACTACATTATACATTTCACAATGAAATGCAATGATACAGTCCAATGACTCACCAAGAAACACACACAAGAATCCCCTTTTAAACAATACATATCAGCATAGGTTACCTGGAAACTGTGGATGCAGATGAATAGTTGAAATGCCCGGGGAGAGCTGGGGTTGCCCAGGCTCAAGTCTGGTTTTCTCTTGATCCAGGGAAGTTATTTCCTTGGTGGTTGTTTTTTAGAGAGAGATAGAGATGGAGACATAAAGTGGGAATTACTTTTATTTTTCTCATGTAGTGTTATTTTATTTAATTAATTATATTCTCAGAAAGACAAAAATATCAAAGGATCAGATACACACCTATGTATGTGACTTTAAAAAATTGTGCTGTTACAATGTCAATTTTCTTATTTTAGCAGCTGTGCTATCTATGCACATGCTCTCATCTGCTTCCTCGGACTTCAAAGTCAAACCTTGAAAGCAATGACCTTGGTCCAGAGCTCCACATTTGATCTCCAACTGGGCAACACTAACCCTAATTGGGGATTTAACATCCATGCACTCACAGAGGGCTCTGCCACACTGCCACATTTTGTAGATTAAATGAATAATGGATGTAGCAACTGAGTCATAAAGAACATGCACTAAGTTTAAATATTTTACACCAGGCAGTCACTGTGGCCTTCTTTAGCCTCTGTGGCCTTCTTTAGCCCCAAACTCTCCTCAGCAGTCATAGGCTACCATAGCAATAGCAGCTGCAGTCTTAGAGGACTACAGGCTTCTAACTCAAGCAACATAAAAGTTAAAAAAAAGAAAGAAAATAATCCAACAGTCATCATGGCTTAGCCTTCAGCTATAGCTCTTTAGGAGCTCATGCCAATGGGACAGTTAATCTAGTTAAGTAAGGTATTTGTACCTTTTCTTATACCAGCGTGGGGCCAGAGGGCTCACAATACCTCATTAAATGCATTCATCAAGTTACTTCCTCACCGTTACCCAACATCTTTCCTGTCTGGCTTAGTTTACTGAAAGCCAGCTTCCTGGCCTTGGTTTCACTCTTAAGTAATCTCCTCGCTTTAGTTTGCTACCTTTCTATGCTGCTACAGTAGATACCCTCACATTAACTCACTCTTGAGATTTATAGGCAGAATCTCCCCATCCACCTAAGTGTAGCCTTCCTAATCAATACCACTTTTCCACTTAATAGGCAGGGGCCCAGATCAGTAGCTATTTCCCCACTGACTACAAGTGTAGTCAGTATTTCCGGGCCATCAAAGCAGGACCAAGTTCCCTTTCTGACCTAATTTTTGCTGCTGTCAATTAAACCTTCACACACATATGTCTCACCCTTGAACTGACCTCCTTTACCCACATCTATCTTTAAGATCACGAGACCATGATGTCAGTCCTAAACAGATTCTGATTTTATTCCCCTTCCCAACTATCCCCTTTTAAAGTAAAATGCTTAACTATACAAGGAAAATGGTCAAATGATGTTAAGACTATATAAGAAAATGTTCATATCTCTTTCTGAATAGATCCTCCAGTCCTGAGCATTCTCTCTCTCTCTCTCTCTCTCTCTCTCTCTCTCTCTCTCTGTGTGTGTGTGTGTGTGTGTGTGCGAGCGCGCGCTTTGATACCCATGCACTCACACATGAATGCACAGTTGGTCCTGTAATGTACTTTCAACCTATGTGTGTGCACATGTAGGAGTCAGAGATTAACATCGGGCCTCTTGCTTGCTCACCCTCTGCCTTATCTTTTGAGACAGTATCTTTTCTTTCCTATTCTCAATTACAGTTGCAATAAACTACAGCATAAAAAGAGAAAACCAAAACTGAGTTATGACGGGTTTGTTTAGGCAGTTGACTGGCATACTTAGAAGCTCAGTGGTTTCTTTTCCCCTCGGATCATTCAGAGCTAAACTCAGAATCAACAAAATTGCAAGCTACTGTACCTCATCCATCATTCAAGATGCTTACTGAGCCACAGCTGTGCAAGTTAAGTTTGCAGATCTGTTGTAGTTCTTTCAGGCTCAATAGACCACAGTCTATCCCAATATAAGCGTTATCATCTCACAGTCATCAATTCTTTATTCTGGATTCTTTTAACACTCTCATATGATAACATATGCTACACATAACATTTGAAACATCATTTGAAATAGTTTTTTTCCACATCCCCTCACATGAGTTTTAACGCCTAATATATTCCTGGCAACTGGAGGAATGATATACAAATGAAAAACATTTAATAATTACATAATTTCCATATTATCACATAAAGACTCAAGGCAGGAGAAGGGGCAGAGAAGATGAAATATTACAAAAACAGGACATCAAGTCAGCAAATGTTCACATTTCCTGTTATTGAGTCTCACTATGACTACTCTCACCTCATGTTCCTAAACCCAAAACTGATCAATTTTTCAAGTATTTTACTGTGGCTTTCAAGGGTCTTTAATCTAGTTTTATCTAATATGATCCAAACACTTGTGTTAAATTTTAGTTGGACTAATCAGAGTCTCACTTAATTTTATATGCATACTGAGAATACATAATTGGACAAACACAAGTGTCTTCCTTTGCAGTTTGTCCAGGCAACTAGTTGACCCTATGAACTCTGCTCATCATTTTACTCTCTCCAGAATTTAGCTTCTGTGGCAAGAGATGTTGTTCCCCACCCAACCCCAGCAACCGATTAGCCATCACTTTCTGAGCACTGAGAATGCAACACCCATTTAGAAAATCCTGTCACAGAATTTCTTGCATTAATGAATTGTGTTTCCTTACAGTAAATGATCTATATTTCGAACATCCTAAAATTTTAAAAAATCCTATTCATATCCTTAAAAAGCATCTTGAAGTCAACAAGAAAGAAGACTTTAAAAACAGTGAATGAATTACCTTCTCAGGAGGTGCTGTTACCACTAAAACCAGAAAAGAGAAATGGGAATTAGCATGGCCACGCACAATCCACTCATCATATTTCAGTTTTCAAAAGGCATTAGAAACCCATTATCTCCCCCAAACAATTACAAAGCAAATTAAGTTAAATGTGGAATTCCTGTCATCTGCCATTTTCGAGAATTCATAAGCAACAAAGGACATTTTGTGCTATTTCATTGTTCAATTATCCAAGTTCAGAGGTCAAAGATTCAAAGTCTTTCATTCAAAATTAAGAAAATTAACCTCAATTTTAAAGAAAACACTTTCTGAAACATTACTTAATGCGTAATCTTGAGTTTGGGGAACTTCCCATGCCTTAGAAAACAAACGCTTCCCATGTTCAGAAACCCATCTGATGTCAGAGTTAAGAAAATGACATTTTTTTCAGTGCAACATGAGAATGGGTACTGCATTTTTTATATAAACCAGTTTTTCATGAAGCCTTCTGATTATTTTCATGCAGACATGCTAACTAAATCAAACAAAAGCCAAACCTCATAAACCAATAAGAGACAATTATAATTTCACATCAATATAATTAGCAACTAAAGTATTACACAATCACTCATGTTGTTGTAGTGGGGTGATGTCTTTTATTTTGAAATGCTTGTTTTCATTAAGCAATTCTTAGCACTAGTCCTCAACTTTGCTTTTTACTTGGAATTTTCTGAGTCAGTATGTCTCCTTAACCCTTAACAAAAAGGTTGGATGCATTAATTCCAAGAAGCAATGAGGCTACCAGATAAATTAAATCCACTGCTCTTTTGATGGGAGGAAGCTGACTTTCTACCCATGAAACCCACTGTTAAGAAATTCTAAAGGCAGAACCACACTTGTGCCCATCTCCTTCTAAACAAAGGATGAACAACCTAGGTCAGTGGTTCTCAACCTTCCTAATGCTTCCACCCTTTAATACAGTTCCTCATGTTGTGGTGACCCCAGCCATAAAATCATTTTTGTTGCTATAATTTTGCTACTGTTATGAATCGTAATGTAAATATATCTGATATGCAGGATGGTCTTCGTGACCGCTGTGAAAGAGTGGTTCAACCCCCAAAGGGGTCTGAACCCACAGGTTGAGAACCACTGACATAGGTGAACAGAAACAACACTAGGTGAGGTCCTACCTGCTCTGCCTACCCAAGGAAGAATTACAGCACAGTGAGTGAAAGGGTAGAAAGAAATATGCCATAAGGCACCAAGCTCAGAGCCCAGAAAAACCCCTGCTACCATGGAAGGTTATGACAAGTTACCACATGACCCACAAGTAGGCACCCAAATCCTTACCTAATGATCAATAGCAAAAGCCAACAAAAGCTTTTTTATTTTTTTAGAGCAAATAAATACATTCCTTATAGCCCTAAAACTGTTCCTTTTTCCAGGAGTGAGGCTTTTCTGTAACAATCAAAATAGTCAGAGTATTGGAAATACTGCTTTACCCACCAAAGAGAGAAGAAAATCCCCTGGAGGGTGGGGCAGAGACTATCAAACTAGAGAGATTGAGACTCCCCGCCCTTGGCCATGGGTCCCATTATACACTTTGAATGACACATAGCAAGTCATGTGTATGGCTTGAATTTCTCAGAAGGTAAATGAAAGGACTTCATCAGTGCTCTCCTAGAATCTTGGGCTGGCTGTCTCCTACTTACCTGCCTGCTCCTGCTCCTGATTTTATCCTACCATTATCCAGCTACACCATTTCACTGCCAGACCCACCATCATTTTATGAAAGCTCAGTCCATACTTTTAAGCCTGTGTTCTACTTTATACACAGACATAAATCTGGACTATTCCCTGAAGATGAAAAACCCTCTCCAGGAGTAAACACTAAGCTATACTGTAGCTCCCCTAAATGCAAGACATTGTTCTAGAATTCTCATGAAATAGTTACCTGCTTGGCACACACACACACCTCAGCTGTGATCCTCAATCAGAGAAAATGGTCCACTCTGTATCTATTATCTAAGGATGTTTGCAGTGTTCAGAAACCATTTTAGTAGTAGCGGCAATAGTGTGTGTGTGTGTGTGTGTGTGTGTGTGTGTGTGTGTGTGTGTGTGTGTGTGTTTGTGTAGTGGGAGTAGCACTATCATGTATTGTCAAAGGTCACCGACACAGCTTAACATCCTACAAGACCCAGTATAGCTTCCTCACCTATTCAAGAATTACACATTTGAAAATGTCAACAACATTAAGGCTGAGAGCCGTGCTCCAGAAGGGTAAAAACATTCACAAAAATGGGCAACTAGAACCCACACCCAGCATGCAAGCTCACCTTCAGGTTCCGCCATTCCCGGCCGCTGTTCCCGCGAGGAGGTCAAGGCCTCCGCTGGCTCTTCCTTGGCTGGGAGAGGTGGAGGATGAGTACTTTTAGCAACAAGTTGAGTGTTCTTTGGCTTGACAAACACAGCTTCTTTACCTATATGCTGATGGACTGGCCTGCGTCTATGAACGCCAGAAACCGTATAACCCATTCCACCAGGACAGATTTCCTTAAAAGCAGCTAGATTTGGGATGGGAAAATATTCCTTTTAAAAATCTAACAGTGCAAACTTATACAGAGGAAAATATCATGATGAATATCTCTTAATAAGTCATTGCTAATATAGGTACATTTCAAAACTTTAGAAATAGATGAAAAATGTAAGCAAATTGCTTAAATTCCTGGTAAACTTGCATATTTACAGGGAAAAATTCTACTTTTACTTTAAACATTTATTCACCTATGAATTCTTCATCCTACCCAGTTAGAATATATATACATATGTATGTATATATATACAATAATATATGCACATGTGTGTACATATAAATTACATAGTATATATATTTAGCATGAATTTTATATATTGTATTTATATGCTAGTAGCCAACATACCATTATGTAGACTAAATTACATATGTAAACTATATTACATGAAAAGATACATATTAGCAGTCATGTTAAGTACAGGTGACAACTGTCTAATATATGAATATATGAATATGTAGTATTAACAATAGTCAGGTTTTCTTCTTTCCCTCTGCTTCTGTACTTTCACTGCTTATTAACAAAGAGCTCAGTGGACATCTAAGTAAATGACAAACAGTAGATTTAGGAAAATGAGGTACTGAAATCCTCCTGAATTGTTTCCAGTTGACAAACCCAAGGACTCAGCCAGAATGGAGTGCTACAGCTAGAGTGGGGGTCCCCGTGAAGAAAGGGCAAAGAGGAATGTGTTTTTTCAAAGGTCCCTCAGACAGTGAGAAGAAATCCACGAAGGAGGCTACAGATGGTAGCCACAGCAGGGAAGAAATGCCAGAGCAAGTGTTGTATGAACAGACGGGCATGACAACTAGAAAAACCTGGTCACTTTCACTAGCCAGAGGACAATGGGACATTCTGTACCATGTAAGTGCCACACTTGCCAGAAAAAGGAATCTTTAAAATGACTTTTTTCCCCTCCAAGCAGACTGGGTATGGTGTGTGGTTTGCAAGGCTCCAGCAGCAATCTCTAAGAGTTGGTGGAGAAAAAGACAATGGTGGGTAGTGGTATGTGGCAGAGGCCAACGCCACATAATTCCTGGGCTGTTGGTGTTGGAAGCAAATTACCAAATGCAAACAAGGGGGCTTATAGTCAAGTTTTTGTTTCTACTTTTGAAATTGAAAGTAAAATAAATCATTTCTCACTTTCACTGAACAAGGAGCCATGTTGGATGTACTGATCCTAAAATTATCCCTTGAGAAAGAGGAATCCTTTAAAGCATACTGAAATCCTGCTTTTCTAGGGATCAGACACTTAACTGTGGGATCTACTGGAACAGAGAATTCCTAAAAAATGAATACTTTAGAACAAGGCATGGTTGTTTACCTAAGCACATATTTAATTAAAATCATTACAGAAGCAAAACTTGCTTAAGAACGGAAATTGTATCATTAATATCATTTTCAGATTTCATTACTGTACTTTGGGAAGTAGCCCTGATGTACAATCCCCTACTTGGCTACACTTTGTGTAAGGATTAAGATGCTGTCAAAGTGGAACTTAGAGAGAAATGGGTTTATGAAAGCAAAGTTTTCTTTTTAGTGATGAGTGTGTTAGATAGCACAGCAGGGCACTAGAGCCTATGGGAGGAGTCTATCACCATCCGTTCTATTAACTCACCACCACCAACATATCACTTTTGCCTTATTGTTCCTTTTGATTCTAACCAATGCCAAAGGTGAAACTGAAGTTTACATCCAAATTCTGGTTTCTAATGTGTAATTTGCTACTTTAAGACATTACATGGCCCTAGAGATTTAATGCACTTCCCTATATGGGAAGTTTCTCTAAAGTAAGCAATTTAGTGAAATGTTTTGAAGCTACACCAAGCCAGTGAAAGAGAAACCACACCTTCCTTGACCATATGATGACCGGGGCTTGTAGGTCATGTCTCTTTCTCTTCCATTAAACTCCTTTTGACTCTACTTGAGAGTTTATTGGTTTAAAAGTAAGGTATCTAGAAAAATGTACCCTTTCGGAGCTCTGGGGAATTATGAACCTAACTGAGGGGTAAAGACTTAACTTTTTAACACTTGACCCCCTTCAAAGTTCACAGTGGTTTTGGCAAGATCTCCTTTAGCATTAGCTTCACAGCATAAATACAAAACTGAATATACTTCTTTGTATTTCTGACTAGAGAAATCAAGTGCCATTTCAGTAGCCAAGTAAACAAGTCAACATTCACAAAGCCATTAGTGTGAAACAATGGGTGGTGGACCATTAGCAAAGCACATGGCCCTGTACAGCTTCCTGGTTTTTACACTTAAATATCAGTCTGTGAGTTCTGGAAGCTGAGAATAAAATGCAAGAGTTTATCTTCTTGACTTAACATTCAAAATGAAGTCTACTGTTACCCAGAAATAATTGGGAATTCCTTTGTACATTTTTTTCTGATTTGAGCTTCTGCAGCTATGTTTTCTTCTGAAATGATACAAACACATTATACCATTCAGAAACCAATAAACAACCCAAGCTGCTGAAGTCATTTTGTTCCTGTGCCTGGGAACATTTATGTGTGTGTGTGTAGTTGGCCATGGCTTACCTGTACCTGGGAGGGGACATTTCTCACAGTGTGGTCCCCAGGCCTTGCCCACACTACAACAGCAGATCTGCTTGGTGAGGTGAACAGAGAGAGGATGCATACAGTGCCTTCCGGGACTGACAAGGCGGTAACAGGGCCCCTTCTCTTCTGAGACCACAGGGGGATCCGCTGAAGATAGAGACAAAGCCCAATGTCATTGAAGTAAAAAGTCATATCGCCTTTAAGTTAAAATAAGATGGCCCTTATAGCATGGATGAGAGACCATGCTTTAAGATAGACCCATCCAGATTAGGGGAATTACTTTTTGGCTAAGAGTCCATTCATTAAATCACTCTTTGAGTCAGAGCACTGAATGCTGTAACTAGTTATCCCTGTCCTTGTCTGGATTCTATTTGTAACAAATATTCATATAGGATGTGTGTATAAGTTAAGCATTTCCATAAACACCTACCTGTCCAACAAACCTAGTCATCTATGATTAATCACAACCATGACCCATTGTTTCTCTAGACTGGGCGGCAGAGGCAGTTCCAGGGCAACGATTGGTGAATGTCAAGGCACCATGGAAAATCAGGAGCGTGGTTAGTACCACAGACCAGCAGCTGCCCTGTTCAGCTGCAGAGCTGGTGGGAGCTCAGGAATCCTCACCCAAAGCCAAAGATTATAAATGGCAGGTAGGGAGTAGCTGCTGACCTGCCGAGACACACAAAGTCCCAGGGCAGCAAGAGAGCAGACAAGGTCCTCATTCTACGCTGCAAAAGGTAACCAGGCTATTATCATTCAACTCCTGCCTCCTCACCCTGATCTTCTACTGTAAATGAGTAGTGAGTGGTCATCACTCAGATACCTGACACACAAGGCAAATTGGAGAGCAAAATACAAGCCTTGTCTTTGAGATGTGTATTTCTTAAGTTAAAGCATGCATAGTTGGGGTAAGTGCTCCATGACAAGTCAACACTGCTGAAACAGTCTCAAGTCTGTTGCACCATCTTGGCCATATCTCTTCTCTCTCATGGTATCATCTCAATCTGCCTTCTGTCTAGCCCCTGGTACTCATGATTCAACCCAAATTCCCGCCCTTCTTGCTTAGATGCACATGTGCAGTTCCATCTTTCCAACAGGACTGACTTCCCAGGTTAGATATTCTAAGAACAATCTGAATAACTAAGGTGTATGGTGGAGGAAGACACAAGGGATATGACTGGCTCCAAAGTGTGGGTGATTTCTTGCCTGTTCCCCTAATTTTCAGGAAACTTGCTGTGATGGTTTAAATGGGACATGTACCCTATAGTTTATGGCATTTGAACACTGGGCCTCCCGCTGGCAGTGCTATTTGGGAAAAGGTTTGGTGGTAAAGCTTTCCTGGAGAAAGTACGTCACTGGGGGCAGGCTTTGAGGGCAAACAAACAAACAAAACCCATGCCTTCCAGTTTCCTTTCTCTGCTTTGTACTTGCGGTTCAGGATGTGAGCTCTCCAAAGGGGTCAAGAACATGATGGAGAAACCCACAGAAACAGCTGATCCAAGCAAGTAGGAGCTCACTAACTCTGGACTGATAGCTGGGGAACCTACATAGGACCAAACCAGGCTCTTTGAATGTAGGTGGCAGTTATGTGGCTTGGGCAGTTTGTGGGGCCACTAGCAGTGGAACCAGGATTTATCCCTAGTGCATGAACTGGCTTTTGGGAGCCCATTCCCTATGGAGGGACACCTAGCTCAGCCTAGATACAGAGGGGAGGGGAAGGCCTTGTTCCTGCCTCAAGTGATGTGACAGACTGTTGATTCCCCATGGGAGGCCTTAAGCTCTCTGAGGAATGGATAGAAGGTGGGGTGGGGAGGAGAAGGTTGGGGGAGCAAGGGAATGGGAGGAAGAGGGAACTAGTATTGATATGTAAAAATAAGAGGAATTTTTTTTGTTTTTGTTTTTTGTTTTTTTTCAGATGTGAGCACTCAGCCTCCTATTCCTACTGCTATGCCTGTTGCCTGCTGCCTTGCTGTTCCCAATATTATGCCCTCTCACCCTTTGAAAGTCCAAACCAAATTAAACTCTGTCTCCATTAAGTGGCCTTGGTCATAGTGTTTTATCAAAGCAACAGCAATAACAAAGTTAATACACTTGCCTTTCCTCACCCTTATTTTTTCATATTTTAATTTATATAACAATCTTACAGGGTTATGGAAGACTCATTTTAATTGTCAAAAATGGTTAATTTTGTGTACCTACAAGGCTAAGCAATACTACCTAGATATTTAACCAGATACTGGACTGGGTGACCAATTGGGTTTTGCTATTATTTTATATGACATTAACATTTAAACCAGAGGACTTTGACTGAAGATATTTATTCTCTAGGATATAAGTGGGCTTTATCACATTAGTTGGCAAATTTACAAGGAAAAAAATGACTGATTTACATTGATCAAGAATAAATTCTGCTAACGCCCTTCAGAAGCAGGCTGCTATGTCAGCTCTTCCTTGGTGGACAGTGTACTCTGTAGATTTTAGATTCATCAGTCTCTGTGCTTATGTCCACCAATCCCTTGAAATAAATGCTGCCTCCCCTTATCTATGCAAGAACATATATTACATGCATGCATGTGCATTTATAGATGCATAGTATGTATTAACATGCAAGAAAGAATACTCAAATATTTATAATGTATATGGGATGGGGTTGTTTATTTCAAGGAATTGGCTCGTGCACATATATACTTAGTCCATTGGTTCTGTTTCTTCAAAAATGCTAAAGTATATACTGGCCAAGCCTCAATAACTTTCTTACTTATAAAGAATAGGATAATATCCATATGTGACATTTGAAATACTTGGTGCACAGTAGACACATAATGCATGTTCAGATGCCTATGATAATACAAAACCCATCTATCTCTATTCTATCAAGTACGTTTGTGCCCAACTGGATCATCACTTAGAAGAAGTTCAGCAATCAAAGACATTAAAAGTGAACTGAAAGTTGGAGGATAAATGGCAGATGAAAAATTAGAGCACTCCTGAAGATTTCAAACCCACACCCGTGCTGAGGGCATGGATCAGTGATAAGGCATTCCCTAGCATGCACAGGGCCATGAGTGAGTTCAGTCCTGTTTCTGGCAGGAACAGAATAAAAAAAGCAAAATCACCTCCACAAAATAGGTCTAATAAAGCCTACTCTACTATTGCTTCTAAAAGAAGTAAGTAGATAGAAAAGTCTGGAATTCTCCCACATCCTTTCTGGCTTCTGTGCAGATAAGCTATGAAATGTCAGACATTACAGACTAAAAGTAAAAGACAGCTTAGCAGCAGAGTACTAGACTCCTAAAGCAGAGTAAGCCTTTGGAATGATTGCTGTTGCTCACACAATACACATGTGCACACAAGAGTGTGTGTGTGTGTGTGCATGTAAGTGCATATAGAACCCACACATAATTCTCATGTAGCTCACAGAGGATTCTGCTCTAGAATTTCCTTCCCCAAACATCTGGGTTTTACTTATAATCCGTATTTACACAGAAGCAATGTCAAGACATTTCATCAGAGCCTATTTTATGCACAATGGGGCTTGATTATAAAATTAATCACATTAGTGTTGCTTCTGGATCCCAGGGCCATGGGCAATTCAGAACAGACCAATTTCTTCATATTCCTGACATTGTCCCATGACAATTAATATTCATTGTTGTTGTATTCTGAATGGGAAATGCCACCCACAGGCTCTTGTGTTTGAATGCTTGGTGCCCAGCCAGTGATATGGTTTTGGAAGGACATGAAACCTTTACAAGTTGGAGCCTTGCGAACTCTCCAAAATTAAATAATGGTTGCTTGTCAGTTCAGATTATGTCCTTCCTGACTCAGTCTACAGAAGGACAGAGTTCTGTGGCTGATGGACCATGTGACACTCAGAAAGAACCTTACTCTAAGCCTTTTCTGCCCTGGTTCTTTCACTTCTAAAACAGGAAGAATAACAACATACATCTCCTAAATACTACATGTGACAATCTATGCAAAGAACCTACCATAGGGTCAGACGCCTATTAAGTACACAATAAAGACTATCACCTGCCACTATTATCTGGGAGCAAACAGGTAGCACAGATCTGTAGAATTAGAAGAACCTTTATTTCACTTCTCAAAAAACTAAAAATAAAATCTAGGACAGTGGTTCTCAACCTTCCTAAGGCTTCAACCTTTTAATACAGTTCCTCATGTTGGGTGACCCCCCAACAATAAAATTATTTGTGTTGCTTCTTCATACCTGTCATTTTGCCACTATTATGAATCATAATGTAAATATCTATTTTTCGATGGTCTTAGGCGAACCCTGTTGAAAGAGTTGTTTGACCCTCAAAGGGGTCTCGACCCAAGGGTTGAGAATCACTGATGTAGAACTATGCAGTTCAATACATCAAGCAAAAGGCACATATTACTGAATAAGCTTATATGAAATTTATTTAAAAGTTCAGTTCCTCTGTTGGACTGACTAATGTCTTCTTTAGGCATCATGGATACAAATATCCTACTGTCCCTGAATGTTCTACCAGATGGCTTCTCAGCTCTGTTCCAACATCCTAACTCCCCCATGATTACTACAAGAGCAGGCTTGGACAACATGTCAGTAGAGATATCTATGTGCCAATAAAACTTTATTTACAAAACCAGACAGTGGGAAGATTCGATCCATGGATTGCAGTTTACCAACTGCAGGCCCATAACCTTAAATCTGGATGCCCCAAATCGTAACTTTAAATCTCAACTCTTGATTATTAGATATGTGATCTGAAGAAGTTTCTAAAACTCTCTTAGCTCCAATTTCCAGTGTGTGTGACATGAACAATAATAACACATTTGATAAAGAGGGTGGGAAAACTAACTAGAAATTATGTATATAAATGTGACTGGCTTTTTAGAAAGAAGCTGCTCTTCTTTGTCTCATGATGGCAGAAATCCCTGAGCACATGTCCTCCTTCACCTCCTGTTTCTGTCAATTAACTCCAAGCTGAGGGATGGAGAATACATAAAGCCCCGAGGCAGATTTCTTTCATCTGAGGACCTTTCCTAAGCTTCAGCAGCAGTCATTATGGGATACCTAAATGCCTGCAGAAAAACAAGTGCAGTTTTGGGAGGCAAAAAGTCTTCCTCAATGTAGTTTACTTTTCTTCAAATTACTGTGCTGAGCCCAAACTTTGCCCTGTTCCCCATAAGACAGGCAGGGGCAGGCTTGGATTATATTGTCCCAGCACCCTAAGCCACAAGCACAGATCAAAAGAGCCAGCAAATGTCAGCATCCTCCTCTTGTCTCCTTTTTGACTACATGAAGTCAAGTGCAGAGAGTGGGCAAGGCAAGAAAAGCAAATGGCCCCCTTGGCTGGAGTCACGGAATGCAGAGGGTGTTCACCTTGTGGCATTCGGGAACACAGAGAGCTTCCCAGTGCTCATTAGTTATTGCCAAGTGCACTTCTTCAAGTTCACAAAGTCAGCCACACATTTTATGGCCTGGATGTACCCTAATTTCATGCTGCTTAAGCAAATGCTGTCAGTCTCTACTTACATGCTTGTACACTCAAGCCCTGGCTGGAATGTGTGTGTGTGTGTGTGTGTGTGTGTGTGTGTGTGTGTGTGTGCGCGCGCGCGCGCACGCGCGCGCGCGCACATGCATGTCTAAGCACTTGTTCATTTCCTCATCTCCTTAGCTACTCTCCATAATTATGAGGAAACACTATCTGTCCCCACTTACTGAGAGCATCACAGTTTTTGTCTGAATCTTTCCAATTGTCTTCAGACTCTTCAACAGTTTCTTCATAAACAAGTCAGGACAAATAGGTACAAATCACAAATTCCAAAGGAACTGGACACACATCCATGATACCACATGTGGTAAATTCAGAGAGAAAAAAAAAGAAAGAAATTCATCTGTGGACCGTGCTGGAAAAGTGCTCAACTTTAACTCTCAGTTCTAAACTGGAACACTTAACTAGCAACAAATAAATATCTCTTAATACTTATCATTTCAGCTGTTGCAGCTGAACCGTAAAATTGAATTATTTATTTTTCAAATAAGAATGGAGGGTTGTTTAATAAGTTCAGAATTATTTGGGCAATGACAAGGAAAATAAATTCTAAGGAACTGTGCAAGTGTTTCAAAATTCACATTGGCAGGTTTCTACGATTTCATTAAAACCTGGAGGTCTGCCCTTCGTGCTAGACATCAGGGCTTGTCAAGCTTTCACAAGTCTATAGCCAGTTCTCCAAGTTTACCTAATCTTCAACCTTCCACGTGAGAATTCTAACCAGACTATGTGCAGTCAAAAGTCATTTACAACAAATTCTGCCTCAAAGCTCTTTACAATAATTGCTGCTTAAATTAGAAACCTGTTTACATATTTGTTTATGTAGTTCAAAGTAGCTGAAAGATACCTCTAAATTATCTGGATATTATCGACAGTTTGGTTTGTGCCCAAACATCCTAAATCCTTACACCAGTTTTCAAGCATGACTTGTATGAAAACTTTACAGTCTCATTCAGCCACCTCCAAAAAGCCCTCCCCCTACCCTCGTTGGGTGCCTGACTGCTTCAGATCAGAGCGGCCCATAAAAGAATACAGGAAAAAAAAAAGAGAGAGAGACTTACGTGCACAATTTCCTAATCTGAATTTGTCAGTTTAAAAAAGGAAAACAGGAATAATTAGTAGCAATGTTTCAAAAGGCATGTATCCCCAAAGAGGATAGTCATTTTCATCTTACTTCATTTCATCCTTTCTGTATATCACGGCTTAGACAGAGATAAACCCCTAAGACTGAAGGACCGTGTCATCCGGAAGAATGTTTTCACTTGATCAAATGTGAGGCAGGAAAAGAAGGGTATGGCTTAATAAACACCAAGTCCACACTAGAAGAAATTCAGAGAGCCTCACTAGACAGAAACATGCAAAATCGCTCCTCAAGTTACCTCACCCCACTGTGACAAGTTTTTAAACTTGGTATAATTGTATACAGTTTTTATGTGCATTGTTTATCTACTTTCCTAATAAAAGGGTTATGATAAAATATGGTTATCTTTTGAAATTCTGCCTTTAAGGGCCTGGAGAAGTTAAGAGCACTAGATGCGCTACCAGAGGACCTGTGTTCTATTCCCAGCACCCACATGTTGGCTCACAAATGTCTATAACTCCAGTTCCGGGAGATACAGTGCCAGCTCCTGGCTTCTCTGGGTACCAGGCATACATGGCACACAGCTGTAAGTGGAGACAAAACGCCCATATATATTAGAATATAAAATATTTTTAATCTGCATTTAAGGCTAGAGAGATAGAGCTTAGTTGGTAAACTGCTCATTCCACAAGCATGAGAACCTGAGTTTCATCCTTAGAATCCATGTAAGAAAAATCTAGGACTGTGGCTCCTGCTTATAACTCCAGTGCTGACAAGGCAGAGAGGTGGATCCCTGGGCCTCACTGGTCAGCCAGCATAGCCTATTTATAAGCTCCAGGCCAATGAGAGACCCTGTCTCAAAATAGCAAGATAAATATTGCCACACAAGGGGGGGGGCTATACTTTTGATCCAATCTAGTTGGCATACAGATTGCATAATCTATATTGATCATATAAATACCCTAATAACTAAACTGGCTTCATTTTCATGAAGAGGGGGCCTCCTTGGCAGAACCATATTTTAGTATTAGAATATATGGCTTCATGAGAGACTTTTACCTTTACTAGATAGGAAAGAAAATCCCAGAGACATTCCCTCAAACCAGTAGTGTCACTTTAGGGGCCCTTTGTGGATTCAAAGGACATTAGAGCAGAACCAGAAATGAATTTCCAGGCTTCTCCAACTGAGAAAGTACAATGAAACCTCATAAAAACAGATTGCTATGACTCAGGACTTGCAATAATTAAAGGCAGAAGCTGAGGCCAAGTTTGATCTACCCTAAAGAAGGCTTAACTATTTATGAAGGAAAAAAATCAGTTTTTATCTCCCAAATCCACAAAGGACTAATACACCTATTTCAATAACTATTTTCTCCCTGCCCTCCCTATTTTGGGGAGTGGTGCAGTTCAAGATAGGGTTTCTCTGCGTATAGCCCAGGCTGTAGTGGAATTTTCTCTGTAGACCAGGCTGGCCTCACCTGCCTCTGCCTCTGCCTCTGCCTCTGCCTCTGCCTCTGCCTCCTTAACTGCCTCTGCCTCTGCCTCTGCCTCTGCCTCTGCCTCTGCCTCTGCCTCTGCCTCTGCCTCTGCCTCTGCCTCTGCCTCCTTAATGCTGGGATCAAAGGTGTGTGCCACCACTGCCTGGCAAATGCTTCTCATTTCTATCCAATTCTAGTCTCTCATGATTATGCCCTATCCTGAATTTTTGCTGTGAAACATTTTTTAATGCAGTTCAAATGCATCCTGGAGAAGGCCCCATAGTTTGCACTGAGTTTCCCAAATTGGGTTGGTTCTTTGCTCTTGTCATTTTCATTAATTACATTTTCTTCCATATTTTCAGTATCCAGTTGAACATTTTCTTCTTTTGGGTAACCCCATAGACACATGATCAAAATATAGAGACAAACAGATTATTACTTACGAACACAACTTGAAAAGGTAGGATCGGGTCCAAATCCCATTTTGCAGGAACATCGGTAGCTGCCCATGGTATTCAAACACTCACCATTAGGGCATACACCTTGTAGCTGACATTCATTTATATCTGCAAGAAAGCAAAAGCTGCTCAGAAGGATCAGTCAGGCCCCAGTGTGCAGATTCCAGCTGTTCTCATGTGCACTTTCTGCCTCACTGCAATAATCTTGGTTAAAACAAACAAAGGGAGAACACAGCAGGAGTAAATGAACTAAAACTAATATGACCAGAACTTCATTAAACATTTGCTGTTGCACCATCAGTTCTGATGTATATGCTATATACTTCAGGTTCTGTCTTAGGTGCCAGAAATGTACTAGCAAACAAAGCTAACCAACATGGCCATCTTCACAGAGCTTTTATTTTAGGGTATGCTGAGTGTTAGGGAGCACACATGTGAAGCAACAATCCTTATTCTGCAGACACTGACAGCCTGGCGGCACATAGAATATATGAGTTGCTAAAGTAGCAAAGAATAGTTTGTTACCCAAACTAGAACAATTAGAAACTGACATTCAGTTCTGAAACTGCAGTCTATACAGTCAAGCGCCCCTGAAAGAGGTTGGAGACGGTGTTGGGGAGGGTGTGAGACTTCATCAGGGTGGAAGCTGGGTTTTGGGGGGTAACGGGGTAGAAGGAATATTTATGTGGGTAGAGATTGAAGCATGAACATAGAGACTGGCCCAGAAAAGGGACTCGGGAAATAGTGAGTCAAGCCACTTACTGGAAATAAGTTTCAATAAGGCAAATAGCTGAACACAGAGCTGGTACGTGCCAGGCTAGGCTCGGACTCAGTCTTACTGAAAACAGGAAGCTATATTGAAAGGTTTTGAGCAGGGAAGTGGTGCTACCAACGGTAGACTCCTGGCCAGCATATGGCTTGGTGAGCAGAGACCATAAAGCAAGCCATTGAAGGACCATGAGCTCCATAATGACAGTGATGAGCCATGTGGGTGACAGTAAGCACAACCAGGAAGATGAGGGAGGCACGGTTCATTTTTAGAATGAACAACTGTCAAAGCATGGCACTTGGCTGGGCAACCCAATGCTAGAAAATAGGGAAGAGGCCTCAAAGATGTCTGGGGGGGGCTTTAGTCTGAGGAAAGAGGAAAGGGTTTGTGAATGGAGACTGCCCGAAGATGAAGAATTCTGTTTCAAAATTAAAAGTCACATTGTGATACCCAAGTAGAAATATCTAGCCATAGAATATTCTGAAACAAATGCCTGAAAACAGAGAGACTGCCCCATGGGTCAGTCTCAGAGGAAACCGAAATGAGCTGAGAGAGAATATACAAATGTGGTGGCTAAAAACTAAAACAAAAGCTTACATAGTCCTTTGTAAAGGTAATGAAAAATTAAACAGAATGAATAAGTTAAAAATGAAAAACTAGTAGCCATTTTTATTTGATCCAACGGGGGCTATGAAGCTTAACAGTTAACAGATGTTGGCTGTTAAAGCTTCTATGTCAAGTAATATTTATGTCTTTCCATCAGGAATTCTTCTGCAATCTTTTTATGAAGGGTCTTAAAATATTAATTTCCTAAATTAAGACTGGACACAATGTTAGAACAGTATTAAAGAATCTTCACATAAAAATGAAATACTTCTCTTGGTAACTCATTTAAGAAAATATTAAAAATATTATTTAAACATGAATACTAGAAGATGTTCTAAGAATTCATACTTATCTATGTTGCACATATTTTATCTAAACCACATGCCTTTTAAACTTTTATTTTTAAATTTTTTCCACTGTCTATATTCATTTCATGAGGTATTAGGTTCCATAAGGACACTTCCATATAAGTATATGTTGTATGAGGAGCAGTTTTAAAGTTAACATCGGGGACAAAATGGATCTTGGTGCATGACATACAAATGAGCAATTAATGTATATGTGTTATATAAGCTCTACAGACTGTCAACTGGGAAGTATCTGGAGATAGGGGTTGCTAGATTACTCCTCGAACAACACCCAGCCCAGGTGTTGTTCTTTATCAGGCTGTGTACTGTGTTGTAACAGTCATTTGTGTGTGGCATGTAATCGAAAATATTCCCCCACAACTCATTCTTCTTAATAAAACCACCATGAAGGACCAGGAAGAGTGCCAACTCCAGTTGGAGCTTACACAGTACAAGCAAAGACCTTATCATAGGATCCAAGTAAAGCCGGAGGTTTGGGTAACTAACCAGTCGTGATCAGAAACACTGGACAAAATCTCCACTCTTCTGTTTTTCACTCACATCTCTACTGGGCTTTGATTGTTAGTCTTCTACTCCTATTCAGTGGCTTTCCTACCACACATCCCATGAGCACTTCTTGGGAATCAGAACCTTCTTTTGTTACCAGAGTTATAAAGTATCTTCATTCAGCCTCGATGTTGGTTGTCAGGTCAAAGTTGAAGGTCCTCCATCTTCTGAATCATGAATGCCTCATTTATAACAATTGACACGAACTCCCTCCCAGTGCTTCTCCTCCCATAGCACAGCTCACAGCCTTAACCAAGTAATAAGGACCAAGAGATATGAACAGGGGAGTTGAGGATGGGAGTCATGGAAAAGTCTTTTGATTTCTACTCCTCTGGTCATCTTGGGCCACTACACCCGGACTGCCACTGCCCCCAACTGACCCTATGAATCTTGATACATGGCCTTTCTGAACACACTCACAGCTGCCAGAAAGACTCCTGCTTCCTTCAGCAGCTGATTTGCTTGTATCTTAGCATATTACCTACAACATCATGATCAGAGATGCATTACTTTTATATTATGTTTCTCTTATTTATTTTATATGTACTGAAGTATCTCCCATTGAAGTACACAGTTAAATATACCCAGGTCTGTTGGCACATGGAGACAGGAAGAATATGTAAAGTCAGCCTGTCTCTGAAACATATGTGTTTGAAGGAGAGCAGGGAGAGGTTTATGAGAGGGCTTGGAAGGAGGAAAAGGAAGGGAGAAATGTTGTAATTAAAATACAGTCTCAAAAATAAAGAAATGCATGTGTGTATATACTAATATGTAGTCACCACCAAGGGCATGATTAAGAACACTTCCACTGGAACTAGAGAGATAGCTCAGAGGTTAAGAGTGAGTACTGCTCTTGCAGAAGACCTGAGTTTAGGTCCCAGCACCCTTGTTGGCTACTCAACTCCAACTCCAGGAGATTTGACACTCTTTCTTCTCTCCACTCATATACACACCCACCCAAAGACATGCACACACATACATATAATCTAAAACTAAGCAAATAAAATGGAGAAAAACCATTTTCATTGCCTCAGAAAGCTCTGTCCAGCCCCTTCCTGGGTGACATCTCTGCACCCACGGCTGGCTAGGCTTCTCACTGCTATTATCTTGCCTATTCTTGTGAATCATGTTGCTTATGTTATTTATTTTACTCTTTGCTATGAAGTTCTTTAGTGTTGTCACATAGAAAGGCTCAGTCTTTTCATGTGCTATACGTTATTCTGTGAGGAAATCAAACTTAGCCATTCTAATAATACATTTGGTTTTTTTGTTGTTGTTATTGTTGTTTCCCCCCATTTGGGGCTATTGTTCTCAATGGTCTGTGAGCATTCATAAATACATGCACACACACACACACACACACACACACACGTATCTACCTGTATGTACACCTACAGTATAGACAGGAAGACCTCAATATTCATTCTCTTGAGCATGTATTTAAGGGCAGAATTTCCAGGCCATTAGAGAAGACTTCTATTTACTTTAAAAAGCTGTCCAGGAGTTACGCCAATTTCTACTCCAGTTGACAAGTCCTTGTCCTTAGTATCAATCTTCTTACTAAATTCAGTCATTTTGGCAGAGAGCAGTGCTGTGGTTTTAGTTTGCTTTTCTCAGATGAGGATCAACACTGAATACTTTTTTATAGACTTCTCAGCCATTTAAATATAAAACATTTTCTGCTAAAATGCAGATACTTCCAGGAAGTGTTTATAGGTTTGGAGAATTGTTGCCCTCTTGGTTTTGCTTCATTTTGTTTGAAATGAGGTCTCACTCTATAGTCCCAGGATGACCTAGAATTCATTGTGTAGCTGAGGCTGGTCTCAAGCTCACAACAATCCTCCTATCTCACCATCCTAAATTCTGGGAATAGATGTGAGTCACTACACCCATATCTATGAGATGGTCTGTGACTCTCAAAGGGAGACATGGTGTACTCCTGCCTGGAGAGCATCTGGTTTCCATGAGGACTGGGAAACTCAAAGAGGATGGATAACAGGGATACTAAACATTCTGAAAGTAATCCCCAGACTTACAGTATGCACTGAAAATTTCAGATGTGCAAAACAAATCATTATGAAGTAAGGCAGGATGGGGTGGATGTGGGAGCTGGCTGTGTAAGACTAAGACGGTCTGATTCACTCTACTATGTCTATATCAACAATGTGCAAATCAAACTTTGGGAAGGATTCCATTCACAAATTATCAACAGCCACAGGGAAGCTATTACATAAAAAACTACATAGATACACTCTCCTTTCCTTGCCATCCTCTGCTATATTCTGAGTGGTATGTGGATAATTTATTGCCTTTGTGTTAAAGGAAAATCAGAATGCCAAAAGCTTATCACTTATTACTGTTCATTTAGTGTCTCAGAAATTAATAAGAAACATGAGTAATCATTCAAAAGACTTTTTGAGGTAGTCAAGTTCCTTTCTACTTCTCTAAATAAATAGAAAGGATCTGCAGATCCACAAGCAGATGAATGACAAAACACAGGTTATATTAAATATATCACATCCAGATAAAGTAAGCTTATGAACCACTCTAAGCAAAGATGGTATGGGGCCAAAGTTTAACAACCATTTGAAATGTGACTGGCAAATTGTGAATTATAATTCCACCCACACTTCAACTCCTAAGGCTATTTTCCTTATTAAAGAAAAGCGTCTCCCCCACACAACACATATTCAAGAAGAAAATCTTCTAACTCAATTATAAAATATAAGTAACCGACCCTTGTCAAACACAATAGAGATCAGAAATCTCACATTTTATGGGGTCAACCACATTTCTTTAATGTACTCAGACTAAGCCAA